CTAATTATCTAAACTATTGTGATTTGCTTGGATTCCTACCAAGGCTCAGGAGACTTCTTTCTGTCTTTTTCCCTTCCTTCTTTCTGTCATAGATTTCTGATTGCCTTGGAGAACAATGATCTAAACAACGGAAGCACAGGCAAGATGAGGTAACTTCTTGCACACACCAGCAAAGAAAGGACCATACAAAAGAGCTCTTGTACACCAGAAAGCTCTGTGTGAGATTTGTGACAGGTGAAGAGGACACAGCTTTGCAGTGGATGTGAAGTCACTGCTTCTTGACAGAGGACGGTAACCTTTTTTCTGCAAGCTGTCTCTGGTTTCTACTGTTCAGCCAGATTTGGAGATGAGCTAAGCAGTGATACAGAAGTTGGGTGGGCACAGCCGGAATGTTCTTCATTGTGCTGCTGCTGCTTCTCCTCCTCCTGCTAGCTCAAGCAGCCTGTCAGATGCAGACTTTAACATGTCCCCCACATCTAACAAAGCATCAGAAGGGAGCATCAAATTACTACCATCCAGGAGAGTACCTCATTAGTGGAGTCATCTCTTCACAAATGTTTGAATATCATGATCCATACATCTTTTCAGCATCCCCCTTAAACAGACGTGATTGGTAAGGAATGCAGATTTCTTCACTCCTAACCCATATTCCACTTCTCCCAGTAATTGTGTATCACCATGGATGTGACATTTAGTCAAGAATAATTGTACAATTTGTCAGGTGTAATTTCCTTTCATGGTTTCAGCCAAGGAAGAAAGGTTCTCTATGGAAGAAGCAATAATATAGCTTTGCCTTAATGTTAATGGAATATTAAAGTCAATACTTTTTTGTGTTCTGCATGTCACTTTATATGTAGCATTGAAAATCAACAGGCTGACTGATTGGTTGCAATTAATACTTTATGAGTCTGATTCCTCCTTTGATCTGCTTGGTTGTCCAGCTGAATAGCCAAACTCAAGAGAACCACAAATGGGTTACTGAGAATGAGGGTGCTCCACTTATTCTTTAAGACTGCACAATTTCTGCAGTGGAGCATCAACCCACTCTCATCTCTTCAGGCCCCACAGTGCTGGAACTTCTGTACACATTTTCTTATTTTATGTCACGCACTAGCACTTTGAAAACTAATAATTTCTCTTCCCATGAAATCTGGTATCCTCTATCTCCCTTTGTTTCCAAGTCGCAAATATGTAGTTCATGACTTAGAAGGAGTATTACATGAATATCTTTTCTGAATTTTCCCTTGCCTGAAAATGATTATGGAGTGAAAAGGGAAATAAAGAAGTTTTCCTTTGCACAAAACTGGACAGTGTGACCGTGACACACCCACTATTTGTTTCTTGCATTGCAGTCGTGTACTACTGCGGTTCTGGCATAGCTTGTCCTTCTTGTTTGCTGTTCAGGAGGTCAACCAGAATCCTGAACTCCTGCCCAACATCACACTGGGCTATGACATCTATGAGAGCCATTATTATGGAAGGAGCACATCCTATGCCATGCTGCAGCTGCTTGCAGGTGGGGAAAGCCACCTGCCCAATTACAAGTGTGGGAGGAAGACTGAGCTCCTGACTGTGCTTGAAGGGGTGGAATCTGAGCTCTCCACCCTTATTTCAGCTATGTCGAGCATCTACAAGATCCCACAGGTATGAATGGAGATTGAAAAGCATCCAGGTGTAAATATTTTATTTATTTATTTATTTATTTATTTATTTATTTATTTATTTATTTTATTAAAACATTTCTATGCCGCCCCTTGCCGAAGCCTCGGGGCGGCTCACAACACAAAATAAAATACAATAAAATACAAAAATAACAATATAAAATAAATAACAATATAAAATAAATAACAATATAAAAGAAGTCGCCCTGGCCAGATAAATAAGCAAATATTGTTAACAATTAAAATGACGCTTAAATAAAAAGGTCTTAGCCTGGCACTGAAAAACAAATAACGATGGTGCCAGGTGGACCTCTTTGGGGAGCGCAGCCCATGCTTGGTGAGCCCATTAAAAAGTGCCACTTCTGAGTGGGAACACTTTTTCTCTGGAGTGCATAGTGACAGACCAGGTGAGGCTGAAGGACCAATTGCAGCTCCTGGCTTGCAACTAAGCCTGACCATGAGAAGATGGATAACTAATAGGGTAACAATTAGTATGGAATCATTGGGATGGCGGTCAGTGATGAGGAGGGTCCCCCAGGGCTTTTCAGTCACTTTATCAATGACCTGGAATATCTAGTGAGAAGTCTTCCAATTAAATTCTCAGTTGATACTAAAATGGGGGTGGTGTCCCCAACTGAGGAGCAGGTACTCTGGAATCAAAGGGTTCTGTGCAGACATTGGAAGTGGTCCAGGGACGACAGGATGGCATTCAATGCAGATGACTGCTCTTGGGGCATAGGGATGGGTGTCATAAATCCAGATTAAGGGACATATGGCTGCAGAGCAGCATTTTTTAAAGAATCTCAGGATGCTGGTCGACTGCAGGCTAAACATGAGTCAGCAGTGTGACATGACAGTCAAGAGACTGAACATTACCCTAGGATGCATAGCCAGAAGCATGTCTTCTAGAACGAAAGCGATATTACTGTCATCATATAAAGCAATCGTGCATCCATATGAGGAAAGTCTGAGAGAAATGGATCTTATCAGCCGTGAGAAAAGGACACTCAGAGGGGAACTGTTAGTGCGTACAGGTATGCAAGAGGTTTTCATAGAGAGGTGGGTAATGCCCTTTTTTCCACTGCAGTGGAGGGCAGCACCCATTCCAATTGAGTAAATCTCAGGGAATCTAGATTAAAGGTGGATGCCAGGAAGGACTCCTTGATGCTTAGGACTCCACATGGTATGGAATGGACTTCCATGGGAAGTAGTTGAAGCTCCATCAGTGAGGATACCTAACGCATGTTATGAGTGGAGCTGGCTGGAGTCAGGGAGTCATACTAGATGGCCTGGGATCTCTCTTCTGCTTCACTTTCTTTTATGTTTCTATTTTGTTGTGATAGGAAAGGGGGCCTAAGTGCAAAGGTGGAAATCACCCATGCCAGAAATTTCAGGAGGACACAAGGTAGATGTCTTCTGAAATTGCCAGAAGCATCCAAGTAAAACATGATAGGATGGAATGCCTGGTTTGGAAGGACCACCAAGATAGAATGGATATTATGGAGACTTTTTAGAATAGATGGAGCCAGTGGGTACTCACCAACTCTGGCTAGAAACTCCATTGGAAGGTCGAGGATGGTTATATTGCTGTGTATATCACAGGGAACAGAGTTTCCAACTGAGCTAAGAACCTAAAATGTTCAGAAACCTGTATAGAAGCAGTGTGGGAGTCAATAACATGCCTGTAAGCTTGAGCCATAGGTACCAGCTATTGTTTCCTGAACTAGAACACTAAGGATGATTCTTGAGTTGCAAAAAGGGACGAGGATGAGTTCCAAATAAGGCACTGCAGCAAGCTTGGCTGACTTCCACTCCCCCCATATAGAACAGGCGATAGGCCTCTTCCAGTTCATACAGAGAGAAGTAGGTCTACAGTGGCCAAGATCAGGTGGCCTTGGAAACAATGAAAGGGGAGTCAATGCTGGATTCAGTCCTGGGTGGGGCTGCCCTGGATTGTGTATGGGAAGTAAATGCTACTGAGCTGATTGGAAACAGTAACTGCTTTGCTATTGAATTAAAGAGACAGCTAAGTGCATAACTGCCGGAATGGTACAACATAGTCACATTTGATAGCAAAAGAGGATGCTTG